TTGAAACTCAGACCGGATGGCAAGTCCAACTACAACTTTTTCAGTCTTTTTTTAAGCTGACCCGTAACTGAGAACAAGCCAAGGGAATGAATACTGAATTTTTTATTTTTTATTTTTGGGTACCTTTAAGTTATTCAATTTTTTTTTAAGATATAAGTTTTTGAGTTTATTTACACCAAAAAAATTTACAATTTTTTAGATCAAGTAATAATTTTTATGGTTTAAGTACAATATTTTGGGGTCATTTATGACTTTTGGGATCGATCTTAATGTAACCGCAAAAAATTATAAATAAACCAAAAATTTTATAATAATTTTTAAAAATTACAAAATAAATGACCCTTCAAATTTATAAAAAAAAAAACCCACAAAACTTAAAATAGATGGTCATGAAAGCCGGCCAAACAGATCTGCTACATCTACAAAAGTCCAACTTTTTTTTTTTTTTTTTCGGTAAGTACAAAAGTCCAACTTTCTTGACACTATATCATCAACCATATTCAATACACTTCGTTGAAATAAACTCCCAATCATCCCTCCCCCCTTCTTTTTCTCCCCCAAAAGAAAAAAAAAAAAATCCCAAATCAAGTTTTTAAAGGACCTGATCATAGTCAACTCACAATTTTTTTTTTGTTCTGTATCTTTGGGTAGTCTATGCAGAAGATATTTGCGAAAATCTTCTCAAAGTTTATGCATTAAACTATCCATGGAAATGGAAGAAGGGTTTATCCACCCAATAACTTTGTTCATCTTTGGGTTTTTATTTAGCCAGGGGCTCAATCTTTCTCCTGTGGCGGCAACAAGCACAATCAGACTTGGGGATGAACTCAACTCCACTAGCCAGCTTGTTTCTAATGATGGGGTCTTTACATTAGGCTTTTTCAGTATTGAGGCCACAAATTACAGTTATTTAGGAATATGGTACACAAAAGATGATCAATCCAGGAGGGTATGGGTTGCCAATCCAAACACACCCATCAAAAACAATTCCGGAGTGCTCAGAATGGACACTGCAGGGAGGTTGGTAATCACCGCCGGAGGGACAACCATCGTGGTGGTTTCCGACAAAAGCGACGCCAATGCGGCTGCTACATTGGAGGATAATGGGAACTTTGTGGCAAAGTTTTGATNCAATGCGGCTGCTACATTGGAGGATAATGGGAACTTTATTTTGGCTGATGAAACTGGGAAGCGGACTTTGTGGCAAAGTTTTGACCATCCTACCAATGTGCTATTGCCTGGCATGAAACTCGGGTTTAACCGATCCACGGGACAGAATTGGACGCTTACTTCTTGGCTGAGCGACAATCTCCCGTCTACAGGGGCCTTCACCCTGAGCTGGGCACCATAGACTCAGCTTCAGGGCAGCTGGCCATTCACCACCGAGGCGAGCTTTATTGGACTAGTGGCCTTCTGGATGGCCAAAAATTTGTGTTCATGCCTATTTTGAATAGTGATATTATGGAGTACCATTACAAACTCCGCCAAGTGTTTGATGAAAATGGGAATTACTTCACTTTTGATGCTATTAATGGCAGTTTTTTGATGTGGATCTTGTTGCCGGAAGGGAATATTCTCGACAATGGAAACAAAAATCTTTACATTTCTCCTGGTGGTTTTTGTTATGGGTATCAGTTGGATAATGGGTGTGTGAGTTCATCCATGGTGCTCAAGTGTCGGAAACATGACGACAAATTCGAGGAAAAGAGTGCAAATTTTTTGGACAATACCATTAGCTCTGATGATAATTCGAGCCTAAGTCTTAGTGATTGTATGGAAAGGTGTTGGGAAGATTGTAGTTGTGTTGCCTTCAGTAGCATTAGCAGTGGAACTGGCTGCATAATTTGGACTGGAAGCAATAAGTATCAAATACATGACCGTGGTGCTGTTGTGTTGAAAAATGTTCTGGTTTCAGAAAAATCATCCAAAGGTTTGTTCATTCATTAATTCCTTTGCAAATTCTTATTGATCTTGGTTAGTTTCCAGGGGCGGAGCTAGAAATTTTGTCTACTGGGCAATTTAAATGATATGAATATTAAAATTATTAGGTAAAATTTTAGTCACACACCTTGCTAATTTACTATATCTTTAAAGATACCCCATCTACTATCAAAAACATCACTGACACCCCTTCTAGTTTAATTTAAACATCACTAACACCCCTTACCATTAAACTACCATTTCTAACAAAAAAAATTTATCTAAAATATCAAAAATGTCCCTACATAAACCTCAAGTAATTTGATTTGAATTGATTGAAATTTGATTTGAGTCGATTGAAAATATTTTTTAATTGGCTAAAATAAAATTTTAATTAGCCCAAATTTTTTAAAAAATATAATTTTTAATTGGCTCAAATTTTAATATGTAAATAAATAAATTTTAATTAGTTTGAATCGAATTTTAATTGACTCAAATTTTAATACGTAAAAAAAATTAGAAAACAGAGGAAGTCTCATTGAAGATATGCTTATCTAAAGGGAGTGTGGATGAAGTTTGTCATCAAATATATCATGGGTAATTTAGTAAAATTGCATTTTAGTTAATATTTTTAATATGACAGGGGTGTCACTGAAGATTTAGAAAATAGAAGATGAGTCTTTGAAGATATGATAAATTAGAGGGGGTGAGATTAAAATTTTTCTAAATTACTAATGTTCACAAAAGTATCATTTCATTAATAGAACGTCAATTAAAGTAACAACTCATATACATGAGCGTTATACAAAAAGAGCCAACAAAAAAAGTTCACTATAAATTTATCTATAAGATCTAATCACCTAACAAAAAATTTTGGTTCAATCATATATAGTTGAATATTAACAATCAATCGAAACAAATATAAAGGAATTATTCAAAACATCAAATTAAAATAATTTAATTTGACACAAAATAGAGGCATTTAGCTTTTTAAAGGAATTTTGTTGACATTTTATAAGTGACCCATATATTTGTCAAAATATCATAAATACCAATAAATCTTTTAAAAAAAATTCAGTAGGGCAAATCTTTAATAAATTTTAAAATTTTTAAAATTATACTCAGTGCCCAAATATTTTTAAAATTTCAGTGGGGCAACTGCCCCAACTGTAGATTCGCCACTGTTTCCGGAGTCAAAGTAGTATGTTTTCACCTGTTTCATTGTTCAAATATTGGTTGATACTGATACGACTCAACTGAATCATATTTGAATCAACACCTTCCATTCTAAGATCAACATAGTATATGCCAACTCTCACTCAAATCAGCCAAATCGTCTGAGATGTCTCCAAGTCAACTACTATACATTCAACTCATATATATGTCCGTGTAAACCACGACTCTCACTCTAGGCAGAATTGTTTGAGATTTCTCCAAGTCAACGTCATCGAAGACCATTCTGTGATGCTGTGATATAACCTAGTTCTCTCATCATGTTCAACTTCTTATTCAATCTAGCATTTCGCGTGAATCGCCTGATACCATTCCACGATGCTGCATCTTGTGTCTCATCTCCTGTACATTGAATGGAGGCCGATCTTGATCCAAATTGCTATCCATAAAAGGTTAGATGAATTACAAAGTTCAGAAAGTCAAGTAAAAATAAAGATTTCCTCAAAAAAAGAGTAACAGGACATGGAGTACCAATGGATTTACAATTATTCAAGCTAGCAGCTACTGAACACTGATTGCACAGCATTGAATTTAAAAAAAAAAAAAAGAAACATTACAGATTATGTATGATGCATTAAATATCCTATAATACATGTTAATTGATCAGTACTGGATGACATTTGTGCAGTAAAATGGTGGGTATGGATAGTTATTGCTGTGGCTATTTTCGTTGTTCTGCTAGCAGTGGGCTTCTTCTGCTATCTGAGAATGAAAAAGAAGAGACTCGAAGGTACATGTCCTATAATTCATACATCAATTACCCTATATGTGTATTTCGTACGGTGTTTGTAATGATAAATTCTTCTTTACGAAGAAGAGGAGAGAAAAAGGCGAGAAGAGTATTTACATGAATTAACAGCTTCAGACAGCTTTAAAATTGAAACTGAGATTGAAAACAGTGGAAGAGAAGGTCACAATTTGAATATGTTTAGCTTTGCCTCTGTCGTGGCAGCCACCAATAACTTCTCAACCGAAAATAAGCTTGGAGAGGGTGGTTTTGGTCCTGTTTATAAGGTAAAGTGCAAATTCAACTCATCAAAACTGATTACTTGTGATCTTTTATAAACTAGAAAGCAATTATTCAGAACTTTGATACCAGGGAATATTAGTTGAGGGACGAGAAATAGCCGTTAAGAGGCTGTCAAGAACATCAGGTCAAGGACTTGTGGAGTTCAAGAATGAGCTCATACTTATATCCAAGGTCCAGCATATGAACCTTGTTCGAGTTCTCGGATGCTGCATTCATGGAGAAGAAAAGATGCTAATTTATGAGTACATGCCCAACAAGAGCTTGGATTCATTTCTCTTTGGTTTGCACTATATCTAAACATACTGTTTCCATTAATTTTACATTCATCTATATGCTGTTGACTGATTTATACTCTGTCATTTGCCCTTCTTTTCATTTATTTGTTATACAGATCCAGCTAAAAGGGATCTACTAGATTGGAAAAAACGATTGAATGTCATTGATGGGGTTGCTCAAGGATTGCTTTACCTGCATAAGTACTCCAGAATGAGAGTAATACATAGAGATCTAAAAGCTAGTAATGTATTACTAGATGAAAATATGAACCCCAAGATTGCTGATTTTGGTATGGCAAGAATTTTCAAGCAAAATGAAACAGAAGCTATGACTAACAGGGTGGTCGGAACATAGTAAGTGAAAATAATTTGCATATGTGGAGGGTTTGAAGATTTAGAGCTGTACTCGTTGCTTTAGTTTTGATATACTAAAGAAGTTTTGTTTGAACATTGTATACAGTGGCTATATGTCACCAGAGTATGCCATGGAAGGTACTTTCTCAGTGAAGTCTGATGTCTTCAGTTTCGGAGTCTTAATCCTGGAAATTGTGAGCGGTAAAAGAAATTCTACCTTGTATAATCTTGATCGCCTACTCAGCTCATAGGATATGTAAGTTTGTTCAGTTTTTATCCATCTTCCACAATCTTTTTGAACCACATCATTTTGTAGACAGAGATTATTGCATGGAATTTAAAACACATTGTATAACAAAGTTGTAAAGTTTACACTTATTAACACTTCAGAACTTACATTTTACCAGGCAGTATGAGATTGTGTCTTCAGAAACATCCCTCTTAAGCCCTAAGGTTCACGTTTGGGTCTCACCCTGACCCAAGTGACTCCCACCACTTTAGCTGGCACTATTTCAAGCCATTATCCGGTGCACCGAGGGATGGACAACCTTAGGTCACCTCCACACTATCATGTTTGCATTTTACAATATTGTCAAACTTTATGTTAGGCCTATACGCTTTCAAAACGAGTTTCATAGTGAGGGTCCAAAACTCACATTTAGTATCACTTGATATACACTTCACCAAGTGATAGGATTGGGTCCCCTCTCATAGTCATGGAAATAACAATATTTCAAATATTTGTTCAGGCATGGGAACTATGGAAAGGAGGGGATGCCACGGAACTAAATGATCCATCTCTTGGAGATTGCATTGTTGGAGACCAATTACTGAGAACCATTCATGTTGGTCTCTTGTGCGTACAAGAAAGCGCGACGGAGAGGCCAACCATGTCGGATGTTATTTCTATGCTTAGTAATGACTCCATGCCTTTACCTCCTCCAAAACAACCGGCATTTTTTACCGGAAGGAATGCGCCGAACTCAACTTCATCGGAAACCAAGTTGAAGGAATGTTCAGCAAACAACTTGACCATTACTGTAATGGAGGCAAGATAGGAATTCATATTCTTTGTTGTGCTCTTATTCTCTGATGTCTTTCAGAAAATTTGTATGTTTTGAATTCATTTGTAATCAGTAAACACAAAATGAAAACATTATTTTGCACCAAAATTGGCCATCCCTTAATAAAGCATCAGAGTAAAGTAGATGAAGTAATTGGTCAGAGTGAGAGACAGAGGCTTATGTGCTTCATTGGCTAGCTAAATCAAAAGATAATTCAAATTTGATAAAAAATTTTTTAAAAGATTGGTTCCCCATTACGACTACCTTGATTGTTGTCCTCAATAGTCAAAAGTTGTATTAGATGGTTCTGCCTGTTTTTTTTTTTTTTTTGGTCAGGATGGTTCTGCCTTCATGCTGTTTTTTTTTTCTATGGATTAGCAAATCCAATCTGATCCATTGACTAGTCAACAATCCAGCAGCACACATGTTGTTGCATCATGCATGACGGATTCCATTGCTAGTTTACCAAATGTAACTTGAAAATTGCCCACGGTAAAGAGAGAGAAAAGATGGACTTAATATCATATTCTCTAAGGCCGTTTGGTAAGTGGGATTGGGGGCTTTAGATGGTGGGTTAGAGAAAAATAGTTTAAATGATACACAAAATTCATGTTTAGTCAAAAATTTGAAGCCTGGGTTATCAAACCCAGCCCGCTCTTGGTCCGAACCTTAAACCCCAGATCATGAGTTTCATCAAATCCAGAGGAGGTGGGTTTCAGATGAGGGTTAATGAGTTCAAGATAAAAAAAAGACAAATATATCATATATGTATACAAACATGAGGTTAGATTAAATTGATGAAAGAGTAAAATAGTCATTTATATATAAATATATTATCATAATAGTGATATATCTGTAGGCATTTGGATATAAATTGAATTGAATGTTGAATTTCATCTTTATAAAGAGGAGTTTAAGTTTAGAAAAATTTATAAAAATTAATCTAAACACTTCCCAAAAATCTATCCAAACAAACCCCAAGAGTAAAGTCTAAGGAAGACGATTGGTGAATAAGCAAATGTTGTATGACATTATACACAATATATTCACGGGATCTTCTTAATAAAATAAAATATGTACACATTTAAATATAAAAATATTTACAAATTATATTCATCTTAGAACATCTCCAACCTTGACTAAAATTTAGACTTAAATTTGAGTTTAAATTTGATTAATATGCTTGATTTGGAATAGAGTACTATGGTTAGGGTTTGACTTCTCCCTTTCGGCTATCTTTGGGCTAGGGCTGGACCGTTGGTCCTTTTGGGCTTTGCCTCTTAATACGGATTGACTAGGTATGCTTTCCTTGGGCCAACAAGCGAAGCAAAATGCCCTGGACTCATTGGGCTCCATGACCATGGCGGCCCATACTTAAATTCTGTCCCCGTCAATATTAAAATTTTTTTTTACGTATTAAAATTCGAGCTGATTTGAGTTCTATCCGAGTTATTAGCGCAGATTAAAATTCACTTTCGAGTCGATTAAAATTTAAATTTTTTTAACTTATTAAAATTTGAGTCAATTAAAATTAAAATTTTTTTATGTATTAAAATTTGGGCAGATTAAAATTCATTGTGAATTCATTAAAATTTGATTTGAGTCGATTAAAAAGAATTGTTAATTGGGTCAAATAAAATTTTAATCGGCTCAAATTTTAATATGTAGAAAATATAATTTTTAATCCACTAATTTTAATACTTAAAAAATAAATTTTAATTAGCACAAAATAATCGACACGAATTTTAATACACTAAAAAAATTAAAAAACAAAGGGATCTTATTGAAGATATACTTATCTAGAGGGGGTGAGATGAAATTTATTTTCAAATATATCATGAGCAATTTAATAAGATTGCATTCTAGTTAATATTTTTAATTTGACAAGGGTGTCAGTAAAAATTCAAAAAATAAAGAGAATGTTTTTGAAGATATGATAAATTAAAAGGAGTTTAATTAAAATTTTCCTTATTTTTTTTTAATAAAAAGGATTTTTTTTCTTAGGGTAAAAAATATAGAGTTATGCTATATTGATCAAATTTAGAGACCAAATAATATGATAGTTGATTATTTGAAGTTTTTATTAGAGCCCAAATGACATAACACCAATCAAAGAAGCCCAAATCTATTGTCATGTCATTTAAACTCTAAATTTAATCCAAAAATTTGATTACTAGCATTACTTAAAAATATATTCCCAAAGGGGTTATTTTTGTCCAAGTTTAAAGAGATCAATGGTTGCATTTATTACAAGCCGACTAATCTCCATTATGTGATCCAAACGTGGGATTTGTTTGACTCCAAGAATTTTTGTAGCCAATCTTACTCCTTGTCCATCGAAACAAACACACCCCTGGTGGATAGGGTGCGTTTCTCGTTTTATTGGCTTGGCCCCTGTAACATTGGCTCGCTAAAATCAAATAAATATAAAAAATTAAATTAAAAATAAAAATAAAAATAAAAACCAAGATTATCCTATTAGGAACACCCTGACTACAATGATCACGTATTATGTATCATTAAAAATATTAATTTCACATGATATCATCATAAAATTTACTTATCTGACAATACAATGCATATTATTGATATGGTTACGGTTCTAACTCATCATGCCTTTTTTTTTATTTTTTCTTTTGGTCAACAACCCATCTAAACATTCTTCTTTGTTAAGAAAAATACTCACACGGGTGATGAATATCCACCGCTTAGTTATTAAATATCGAATCATTGAATATACTAAATAGCATATCCTTCAAAAATAGGAATCTTTAAAATATAAAAGGGAGACAAAGATTTTCAAATAACTAGAGATGCTATAGATGATTTTAAAAATGTGTGGGGGACCCATGCCCCTTGTCTCCATGTAGTTTCGTCCCTGTGCTTAGATTTATTCTTTGGTATGATATTGAATACCATTGTCTTTTTGAAACTCAGACCGGATGGCAAGTCCAACTACACTTTTTCAGTCTTTTTTGCACTGACCCGTAACTGAGAACAAGCCAAGGGAATGAATACTGAATTTTTTATTTTTATTTTTTATTTTTGGGTACCTTTAAGTTATTCAATTTTTTTTTTAAGATATAAGTTTTTGAGTTTATTTACACCAAAAAAATTTACAATTTTTTAGATCAAGTAATAATTTTTATGGTTTAAGTACAATATTTTGGGGTCATTTATGACTTTTGGGATCGATCTCAATGTAACCGCAAAAAATTATAAATAACTCAAAAATTTTATAATAATTTTTAAAAACTACAAAATAAATGACCCTTCAAATTTATAAAAAAAAAAAAACCCACAAAACATAAAATAGGTGGTCACGAAAGCCGACCAAACAGATCTGCTTCATATACAAAAGTCCAACTTTTTTTTTTTTTCGGTAAGTACAAAAGTCCAACTTTCTTGACACTATATCATCAACCATATTCAATACACTTCGTTGAAATAAACTCCCAATCATCCCTCCCCCCTTCTTTTTCTCCCCAAAAGAAAAAAAAAAAAAATCCCAAATCAAGTTTGACATGACCTGATCATTGTCAACTCACAATTTTTTTTTTTGTTCTGCATCTTTGGGTAGTCTATGCAGAAGATATTTGAGAAAATCTTCACGAAGTTTATGCATTAAACTATCCATGGAAATGGAAGAAGGGTTTATCCACCCAATAACTTTGTTCATCTTTGGGTTTTTATTTAGCCAGGGGCTCAATCTTTCTCCTGTGGCGGCAACAAGCACAATCAGACTTGGGGATGAACTCAACTCCACTAGCCAGCTTGTTTCTAACGATGGGGTCTTTACATTAGGCTTTTTCAGTATTGAGGCCACAAATTACAGTTATTTAGGAATATGGTACACAAAAGATGATCAATCCAGGAGGGTATGGGTTGCCAATCCAAACACACCCATCAAAAACAATTCCGGAGTGCTCAGAATGGACACTGCAGGGAGGTTGGTAATCACCGCCGGAGGGACAACCATCGTGGTGGTTTCCGACAAAAGCGGCGCCAATGCGGCTGCTACATTGGAGGATAATGGGAACTTTATTTTGGCTGATGAAACTGGGAAGCGGACTTTGTGGCAAAGTTTTGACCATCCTACCAATGTGCTATTGCCTGGCATGAAACTCGGGTTTAACCGATCCACGGGACAGAATTGGACGCTTACTTCTTGGCTGAGCGACAATCTCCCATCTACAGGGGCCTTCACCCTGAGCTGGGAACCCACCATAGACTCAGCTTCAGGGCAGCTGGCCATTCACCGCCGAGGCGAGCTTTATTGGACTAGTGGCCTTCTGGAAGGCCAAAAATTTGTGTACATGCCTATTTTGAATAGTGATATTATGGAGTACCATTACAAACTCCGCCAAGTGTTTGATGAAAATGGGAATTACTTCACTTTTGATGCTATTACTGGCAGTTTTTTGATGTGGACCTTGTTGCCGGAGGGGAATATTCTCGACGGTGGAAACACTAATTTTTACATTTCCCCTGCTGATTTTGTTATGGGTATCAGTTGGATAATGGGTGTGTGAGTTCATCCATGGTGCCAAAGTGTCGGAAACGTGACGATAAATTCGAGGAAAAGAGAGCATATTTTTTGCCCAATACTAATAGCTATGATGATATTCGAGCCCAAGTCTTAGTGATTGTATGGAAAGGTGTTGGGAAGATTGTAATTGTGTTGCCTTCCGTGGCAATAGCAATAACAATGGAACTGGCTGCATAATTTGGACTGGAAGCAATAAGTATCAACTAGATGACCGTGTTGATTTCATATATGTTCTGGTTTCAGAAAAATCATCCAAAGGTAAGTTCATTCATTAATTCCTTTGCGAATTCTTATTGATCTTGGTTAGTTTCCAGAGTCAAAGTAGTATGTTTTCACCTTTTTCATTGTTCAAATATCGGCTGATACTGATACGACTCAACTGAATCATATTTGAATCAACACCTTCCATTCTAAGATCAATATAGTATATGCCAACTCTCACTCAAATGAGCCCAATAGTCTGAGATGTCTCCAAGTCAACTACTATACATCCAACTTATATATATGTCCGTGTAAACCACGATTCTCACTCTAGGCCGAATTGTTTGAGATTTCTCCAAGTCAACTACTGTACATCAAACTCATAGTCATCCAAGACCATTCTGTGATGCTGTGATATAACCTAGTTCTCTCATCATGTTCAAATTGTAATTCAATCTTGCATTTTGCGTGTGTTGTCTGACACCGTTCTGCGATACCACAGCTTATGTGTCTCATTTCCTGTCCATTGAATGGAGGCCGATCTTGATCCAAATTGCTATCTATAAAAAGTTAGATGAATTGCAAAGTTCAGAAAGTCACGTAAAAATAAAGATTTCCTCAAAGAAAGAGTAACAGGACAGGGAGAACCAATGGATTTACAATTATTCAAGCTAGTAGCTACAGAACACTGATTGCACAGCATTGAATTTAAAAAAAGAAAAGAAACATTACAGATTATGTATGATGCATTTATTATCCTATAATACTTGTTAATTGATCAGTACTGGATGACATTTGTGCAGTAGTAAAATGGTGGGTATGGATAGTTATTGCTATGGCTATTTTCGTTGTTCTGCTAGCAGTGGGCTTCTTCTGCTATCTGAGAATGAAAAAGAAGAGACTCGAAGGTACATGTCCTATAATTCATACATCAATTACCCTATATGTGTATTTCCTACGGTGTTTGTAATGATAAATTCTTCTTTACATAGAAGAGGAGAGAAAAAGGCGAGAAGAGTATTTACATGAATTAACAGCTTCAGACAGCTTTAAAATTGAAACTGAGATTGAAAACAGTGGAAGAGAAGGTCACAATTTGAATATGTTTAGCTTTGCCTCTGTCGTGGCAGCCACCAATAACTTCTCAACCGAAAATAAGCTTGGAGAGGGTGGTTTTGGTCCTGTTTATAAGGTAAAGTGCAAATTCAACTCATCAAAACTGATTACTTGTGATCTTTTATAAACTAGAAAGCAATTATTCAGAACTTTGATACCAGGGAATATTAGTTGAGGGACGAGAAATAGCCGTTAAGAGGCTGTCAAGAACATCAGGTCAAGGACTTGTGGAGTTCAAGAATGAGCTCATACTTATATCCAAGGTCCAGCATATGAACCTTGTTCGAGTTCTCGGATGCTGCATTCATGGAGAAGAAAAGATGCTAATTTATGAGTACATGCCCAACAAGAGCTTGGATTCATTTCTCTTTGGTTTGCACTATATCTAAACATACTGTTTCCATTAATTTTACATTCATCTATATGCTGTTGACTGATTTATACTCTGTCATTTGCCCTTCTTTTCATTTATTTGTTATACAGATCCAGCTAAAAGGGATCTACTAGATTGGAAAAAACGATTGAATGTCATTGATGGGGTTGCTCAAGGATTGCTTTACCTGCATAAGTACTCCAGAATGAGAGTAATACATAGAGATCTAAAAGCTAGTAATGTATTACTAGATGAAAATATGAACCCCAAGATTGCTGATTTTGGTATGGCAAGAATTTTCAAGCAAAATGAAACAGAAGCTATGACTAACAGGGTGGTCGGAACATAGTAAGTGAAAATAATTTGCATATGTGGAGGGTTTGAAGATTTAGAGCTGTACTCGTTGCTTTAGTTTTGATATACTAAAGAAGTTTTGTTTGAACATTGTATACAGTGGCTATATGTCACCAGAGTATGCCATGGAAGGTACTTTCTCAGTGAAGTCTGATGTCTTCAGTTTCGGAGTCTTAATCCTGGAAATTGTGAGCGGTAAAAGAAATTCTACCTTGTATAATCTTGATCGCCCACTCAGCTCATAGGATATGTAAGTTTGTTCAGTTTTTATCCATCTTCCACAATCTTTTTGAACCACATCATTTTGTAGACAGAGATTATTGCATGGAATTTAAAACACATTGTATAACAAAGTTGTAAAGTTTACACTTATTAACACTTCAGAACTTACATTTTACCAGGCAGTATGAGATTGTGTCTTCAGAAACATCCCTCTTAAGCCCTAAGGTTCACGTTTGGGTCTCACCCTGACCCAAGTGACTCCCACCACTTTAGCTGGCACTATTTCAAGCCATTATCCGGTGCACCGAGGGATGGACAACCTTAGGTCACCTCCACACTATCATGTTTGCATTTTACAATATTGTCAGCTTTAAGTTAGGCCTATAAGCTTTCAAAATGTGTTGCATAGTGAGGGTCCAAAACTCACATTTAGTATCACTTGATATACACTTCACCAAGTGATGGGATTGGATCCACTCTCATGGAAATAACAATATTTCAAATATTTGTTCAGGCATGGGAGCTATGGAGAGGAGGGGATGCCACGGAACTAAAGGATCCATCTCTTGGAGATTGCATTGTTGGAGACCAATTACTGAGAACCATTCATGTTGGTCTCTTGTGCGTACAAGAAAGCGTGGCAGAGAGGCCAACCATGTCGGATGTTATTTCTATGCTTAGTAATGAGTCCATGCCTTTACCTCCTCCAAAACAACCGGCATTTTTCACCGGAAGGAATGCGCCGAACTCAACTTCATCGGAAACCAAGTCGAAGGAAAGTTCAGCAAACAACTTGACCATTACTGTAATGGAGGCAAGATAGGAATTCATATTCTTTGTTGTGCTCTTATTCTCTGATGTCTTTCAGAAAATTTGTATGTTTTGAATTCATTTGTAACCAGTAAACACAAAATGTAAACATTATTTTGCACCAAAATTGGCCATCCCTTAATAAAGCATCAGAGTAAAGTAGATGAAGTAAAATGAATGAGAGAGAGAAGAGAGAGAGAGAGAGAGAGAGGCTTATGTGCTTCATTGGCTAGCTAAATCAAAAGATAGGTCATATTTTTCAAAATTTCTTTCACTCTATTTTTCAAAATAAGCCTTGAAATACTTAACCTATCATAAGCAACTAATTTATTTTTCAAAATATCTTTTTGCTAAGATCATCAATAAACGTGTCATGGCCATTGCACGCTAGTTCTACTGTAGTTTTTATTCTTACCCTTGACATTTACCATATGATTATTTCGATGTAAACAATAACCCAAACATGCTCTGCCTCTGCTATTCCTTTGAACAGCTTATAAAGCATTAGCTAATGTTCAGGGCGGAGCCAGAATTTCTTTTCAGTGGAGGCAACCATTAAGTTAAAGAGAACCGGAGGAAACCATCAAATTAAAGAGAATAATTACTCAACAATTATCAAAGTTCGTTGAATCTAGTAAACATATTTATTATCTCAAAATTTCATTCTCTATAAAAAAAAATTCCTAATCTTACACCTTTTATAAAATAATTCTTCATATTATTTTTTTTACTTTCAAAGATTTTACATATAAATACACGTGAAAAAATGATAGCCGACTATGAAAAATTAATATAATTTTTTTTAATGCATTAGAATAAAGAAAGTTTTCATAGAAAATGCTATTTTGACATATTATTTTGTGAGTGTGTTTGCTAATAATAATATTTTGACTCATCCGAATGACAAATTTGTCTTGAAAACCCTATTTTGAATCTAATATAATTATTCAATTGATTTCATTTTTTTAATCCATATTCGAATCTATTAAATATTATGAATTTTATCAAAAATCCAATCTTTTATATATACATATATATATATATATATATATATATATATATATATATATATATATATATATATATATATATATATATATATATATGTGTGTGTGTCGCATTGTAATTTTAATTCAATTTAATAATTTAGTTTTATCAAATGTTTAAATATACATATTTGTGTATGCATATCAAATTAAATCGAAGTGAATTGAATTGAATCATAATTAAATCAAATTTTTTTATGCTCCCAAATCTAAAATCTTAGAAAATAATATAGTATATTTAATCGAAGTGAATTGAAATAAATCATAATTAGATCAAATTTTTTTGTGTCCATATCTAAAATCTTAGAAAATAATGTACTATATTTGAACTTAAATAATTAGTCAAAAATATATACGTATGTCTTAGTAATTGAATTCGGAGAAGGACTGATTCGGTAACTTAAGTGAGTCGTTGTAGAAAGAATAAAGATAATTAGACATTAAATAAAAAATTGTGAGATTAAGTCTCTATGAGCGAACTTTGATCTAAATTTTTAGTGCATTAAAAAAAAAAAAAAAAAGAGTGGGGGCACGCTTCCCTCACCCCGCCTCCGCCCCTGCTAATGTTCACATGAACCAGAGCTACTTACAGAGAGACGGCTCTATATGGCTAACTACAAAAATGGTTCTATCAATCCAATTTTTGTGCTTCTCATCTTTGCATTCTTATTCAGCCAAGGACTAAAGTCGTCTTATGCGGTCCATTCCACTTGGAACTTGGTTTCTGAAAATGGGAAATTCACTTGCAGCTCCGAAAATGGGTTTAGTAGTCTTACAACCCTTTTGAATTCTACGAACGAGACAGTCAATCCAACAACTAGAATTGATAGGTCTTGCGACTTTGTCCGAAAGACCAGATTTGAAAGGAAGATTTCGTGCCAAATCTTTTGTTGTCCTAACAACACCCTTTTGCCTGGTATGAAACTTGGTTTTAATCCGTACTCGGTCTTTGCTGTCGCTGCGGGTCTCAGTCTTTGTGCAGCTGTGCCTGTGGGAAATTTGACGATGTTCCAAGAAAGTAATGCTTTGAGGATGGAGTATGTGGCAGGAAAATCGTCCAAAGGTGAATCTATTTCTATATTCCGCACTGCTTTTTTTCTTTTTCAAATATTTTCGTCACTGTTTGATATTTTTTTTTTTCGCTTTTTTAAAAAAAAGTTGCACTTTGCATAAAACAAAAAAAACTGATTTTGAAAAGTAATCTACCATTTGGTATTTACAAATAATTTAAAATTCTATTAAATGGATCCTTCAACAAATTAGTGATAATGTAACATTTTAAATTGTAAAAAAACTTACCAAAATTAATTTTCATATGTTATTGTTGTAAAAATTAGTTTAAGCCACTAAATCTAAAAATTAATTTGTACTTACCATTGTGATAGTTCATTTATGACAATATTATGGTATATTTATTTCTTTACTTATGGAATTATGTAATGATTAAGTAGAATATATCATTAAAAATATTAATTTCACATAATATCGTAAAATTTAGTCACGTGTGATTGCATATGAATGATATTAGTCACTTTTCTAACCCGATTTTATCACATCTTTCATTATTTTTTCTTTTGATCATCAAACTCATCCAACTGTTCTTCTTCTTCTTCTTCTTTGTAATAAAAACATTCATCCATGTGACTAATATCCTTCACTTGGTCATCAAAGGTTGTATCATCCAACTCTATGAATATACTAAATAATATATCCTTAACACATATAAGAACTTTTTAAAAATTTTCAAATAACTAAGGATAATATAGGTAATTTCAAAAATATGAGGGGAGTTTCTAAATAGTTCATGTATTCATCAGTATAAATTACTAGTTCTTGTATATGTCTGTTACACGTGAATCGTTTTTCAATCATGATTAAGGTGTCATTTAGTAACACGATGTTTTCGTTATTTTTATTTTATTTTGTGTCAACATATAAAAATAAAAATATGGTTAATGAGTATTTTTATTTTTTTTTACAGCTTTATTTTGAAAATAATGTCAAAATATAAAATGATATTTTTGATAACATCAAAAAATCTAACAAGCGGCAACTCCATTGCCCATTTAACGAGGTCTCAACCTTTCCCGTAGCAAAATATCCTTTCTTTTTCCCTTACCGTATAAATGCCAAGAAAAATGCATTTTACTCATTTCGTCGAACAAACTCCAACTCCACAGACGTCTCCAACTCCGGCGAACAAGCTTCTCCAGGTGCAGCGACATCTCCATCTCCAGCGAAGACCTTCATCTCCGGCGAAGAGGTAAGCTCCCTTTTCTCGGCAAAATTTTTCATTTATTTTTTGATCTAATGTTGTTCAGATCTTGGGGTTGGGGGGGGGTTTCGGTGGTAAGATTTGGTGTTGGGTGGTCAATGGGGTTGGATGGTGGGGTTTGTGGTGGCGGGTTTCGGTGGTGGCGTTTGTGGTGGTGGGGTTGGGGGTGGGTTTCGGTGTTGGGGTTGGGTGGTGGGATTTGGGGTTGGGTGGTGGTTTTGGGTGGTCAGTGGTATTGGGTGGTAGGGTTTGAATGGTGAATTTTTGGTATAATACCAAACATGTTTTTTTATTTTTGTTTTCTTAATTTTTTAAATATAAATGGCTACCAATGTTATATTTTTAATTTTTATCACAGAAAAAACAAAAACTAGTTCTGTTTTTTTTTTTTATAAAAAAAAAAAAACATAATAGTGAAAATGCTACCAAACGCACAATTGGTTTTGAATTTAGTTTTGGTGATTTCCGAGTCATAATGCGTGTTGCTCAAAAAACGAATATTATTGATAGTTTAAGGACTTTTGATTAAAATAGACATATTTTTTGTACATAATATCTTAACGAAGCTAAAGGTTTTTATTGATTGGGTTGAAAGCAAAATAATTTCTTTAATTATATAATAGAGTATAATCTTGTGCAATGATAATGTAATCAATAGATATAATTTTCTAAGAATGACAGAAAAAAAATACTAAGTTAACACCACGTTATTTTTGATATCATACTCTTGATTTTGGTTTGGCTGAGAGTCTAATTTCTGACAAATGAATATCTATAATATAAAACATGTCAAATTTTAATAAGTTTATCCAGACTGTCTCAAATAGACTCATCCAACGTTCATCAACATACCACTCAAAATCATTCACATTGAATTCCCTTCCAAATTCATCACTTTTTACTTACGGGTTACCCCTTGTTAGTGACGGAACCAAATGGAGGCCTAAGGGGCCGTGGCCGCCTCAAATTTTTAAAATACCTTATACTCCCTTTAATTTTTACAAACTTCATATCTCACCTTTGGTTTTAATTTTAAGTTTTTTTTTTGTTTAGGATACTTGAATTAGTGTACTCAAAAAGTTAAATGATCTTTAATAACTAATAAGTGATAACCAAATGAGAAATATTAATCAAATGGACAATGCTCCACATACGGATAAAGACATTTGCTAAAATAGGTTTTATGACCAAAAAAAATGTTGTTGCAATATTCAGTTACAAACATGACTCAAAGTATGAACAATACACTGAATCAAGATTACTTTTAATTTATTTCCTAATCATATTATAAGTGAAAAAACAAGTGGACTTGCAAAGATTACATTTATTTTTATAATGGCAAGTATGATTTAGTTTTTAGATTTTATAACCCAAATTAATTTACATGGTATAATTATCCAAAAAAAAAAAATTACATGGTATAGTATAGATTTTGATAGTTCTATACAAATACAAATTTGACATTAATGCTAACACTTGACTTGCATCCTTGAATAAAATGTTTGGCTATGCTACTATTTTTATTAATTTGGCCCCTCATATAATGAAATCCTAGTTTCGTCCTTGCCCCTAGCTAGTCTATTTATATAATAAAATGCAATGCATTTGAAATTTTAAAAGATATATAAATTAAATTTTATTTTGTTTGTGGTTTTAATTGTTTTATATTACTTTAAATTTGATCTAAGGGGATACTAGTATGCTGTCCTAGTCAAAACTAAATCTTGTAT